TGTCGTCCCTATGACCTCCCTGACCGGTCCCTTTCAAAGTCGCCAGCCAAAGACCCCTTCCTTTGTCTCCGTTCCCCTTTTAAGACCTTCCCAAGTCCTTGTCCCGCCGACCGTCCAATCGGGAATCTTGCTGCGAGCCGACCCTCCGACGTCAGCGCTGGGTGAGGGGGCGCTTGCCCCGTTCCTCCCGGAGAGCTCGGTCGTTCCGCGACAGGAGGGCGACGGAAAACGGGAAGGTCACGGGGAACGAAGGAGCGCCCGACAGTACGGCGGCGGGGACCGGGAAGGTCACGGAGCGCGGAGGAGCCAGGGAGAGGGTCCCCACACCTCCCCTCCCTCAAGGCTCGGACCCCGGGGGGCCTGAGTCGGCGGAGGGTGGACGGTCCCCGGCCAGGAACTCCTCCAGCTCCGCCATCACCGTGTCCTCGGCGGGCGGAGGCGGGAGGGGTTCGGCCGGGCAGGCGAGTGGCACCAGCGGGGGCGGCAGCGTGTCCGAGACCGCGGTGGCGGCGGTCGCAGCGGTAGAGGCAGCGGCGGTTGAGGCTGCAGAGGTGGCCCCCTCCTCAGGAAGCTCCCGGGCCGCCGGGGGCCAGGAGGTCGGGCCGGTCCCTCTGGAGGAGCCGCAGCGCCGCCTCGACGCACGTGGGGGGGCCCACCGCCCTCAGCAGCTCCTGGTCGCGTGGGCTGGCCTCGTGGGTCTCGCGGTGAACCACCGGCACCCGGCAGAGCCAGCAGGGGTCCTGCAGGTCCGGGGCCAACTCGAAGGCGGACAGCGTGTGCCCCAGGAAGGGCGGCGGGACCTCGACACCGGGCGTGTCGTGGACCGGTCTCGGCTGGTCCCGCCAACGCTGGCGGGACACGAAATGGAGGTCCCGCTGCCCGTCCCATGTCGTCCAGGTTGCCACGGTGTGGCATGGCCGCCGGCTCCAGGCCCGTCCCCCCTGCGGTGACGGTCCCTCTCTTCTCCTGGAAGGAAGTCGTGCGGGGCGAAGAGGCCTGCTCGAGCCTGGTCCTCCCCGCGCAGGCGGGCCTGACCCACTCTGCGGTGTGCCAGCGCGGTGGCTCGCGGAATCCGCGGAGCCCGCCTGGCGCTGTCCGGACCCAGCGTCCGACGCCCGATCGTGGGGCCACCTCCATGGTCGCCGACCTCGGGAGTCGGGCCGCCTCGACCCCGGGCGCCCACCCCGGGTACTTGGGGGAGCATTAGCGCCCCCGTTCTGGCCTGGCGGGCCTCCTGGGAGGGGTCGTCCCCGACCAGCGCCGGCACGTGCTCGGCGTCCGGCGTCGTTCCAGAAAGGCATTCTGTGGGGGGGAAATACAGTTAAAAACACAGAAATGGATTAAACCCTGCGCCGCAGATTGTAGTGACGGCAGAAACTCCTGTTAGAAGTGAGCTCGCCGACAGTGTCATGCACCGTCCGGCCAGCGCGCTCCATCCGTGCTCCGGACTGCGTCTGCCGTCCGGCCGAGACGGGGCTTTCCCCGTCCTCATCAGCCGCTTCTCGTCCATCGCCGTCCTGGTCGCGAAGGTAGTACACCTTTAAATCGGTCACGTGAACAGGGCCAGACTCCTCGGTTGTGTTCGACCGAGTGAGTCTGTACGTAAGCCGCGACACTCGCGTACTTACCTCGTAGGGCCCATCCCACTTCGGAGCCAGCGATGCTGCGAATCCGCAAGCTGCATTACTCAGTGGGTGCATTCTCCTCAGAACCAGGTCTCCGACGTTGTACTCCAGGTGGCGATGGTTCTTGTCGTACTGCGCCGCCTGCTCGATCCTTGCGGCATCGAGGTTCTCTCTAGCGTCGTGCAACGCGCCCGTCAAGCGGCTTTTGAGCCCGGCCGCGTACGTAGAGAGTGGGCGACCCGATGCCCCGTCGCTGTTTCTTAACCCGTTCTCTAGTGGAGACGGGAGCTCCTTACCCAGGTTCAGGAACGCTGGTGTAAACCCGGTTGATCGGTTCACTGACGTCCGAATGGCGAAACCCATCTCGACGATGTGTTCGTCCCAGTCCCGGTGTCTCTCCGTCAGCGCGATCAGCATGCTCTTCAGGTTGCGATTCACTCTCTCAGTGATATTGGCCTGAGGATGGTACGGTGTCGTCCTCTTGTGCTTAATATTGAGGGCCAAGCAGGAGTCCACGAAGACTTTACTAGTGAAATAACTAGCATTATCGCTCACTAGACACTTGGGCGTTCCGAAACGCAGGAAAGTGTCTAACAACTTTTCCCAGATTCGCTCCGAGACCAGTTTTCTCAGGGGGTACAGCTCCACCCACTTCGAGAAATGGTCAGTGACCACCAAAAGGTACTGATTTCCCCGAGGACTCCTCAGCAGCGGGCCAACGATGTCGCACGCGACTATCTCCCACGGGTAGTGACTCATCACCGGCTGCATCAACCCCGGAGGTTTCCCGCCTCTCGGTTTCGCCTTCTGGCAAGCTGGACAGCTACGACAGTACCGAAATACGTCCTGCCTCATTCCCGGCCAGGTCGCGACGCGACATAACTTTTGAAAAGTCTTGCCGCCGCTGCCATGACCCGCCAGAGCCGAGTCGTGGAAGTATCTGAAAAACTTCCTGCGTAGCTTCCTAGGAATCACCACCCTGAAGGGAGGGTCGTTCCCCTCCTCTTCGTCGATCGCGGGGATATAGCGGAGCAATAACCCATCTTCGCCCAGCAGATACGAATCGAACGGCGCGCCGATTTGTCCGTCAGTGTTCCCGGTGTCAACCGCAATTTCCGCAAGTTTTCCCAACACCCGCTGACAAAATCCATCTGCTCCCTGGGCCTCGACAAGCTCTGCCTTGATTACCACTTCCCCCAAGCCACGATCCTTTGCTCCCTCGTAGAGTGACCCACCGCTGCTACGAACTCCGGCTGCTTCCCCTCCTCCCAGCTATTCTCTCGCTTTCCCGCGATCGCGGGGGGCTTCTCCCCCGCGCACGGAGGTATTCTCTATCGTCTCCCGCGCTCTTCGCCCCCCAACGGTCGCGTCTCCTCCTCCCGACCACCGTCCTGGGGTGCCCGAGAGAGCGCGTCCGCAACCTTGTTGCTCGAGCCCTTTCGGTATTCGACAGTGTAGGAGTAGCGCTGCAGGGTCAGAGCCTAGCGAGCCAGCCTTCCCGCTGGCTCCTTCAACCTCTGGATCCATGTTACCGCAGCGTGATCCGTCTGTATGACAAAAGTCGTACCGTCTAGATAGAGATCGAACTTTTTCAAAGCGAACATGACGGCCAGCCCCTCCTTCTCCGTTACGCTGTTGTTGCGCTCGGGCGGTGTAAGCGTTCGGCTCGCGAAAGCCACAGGGCGCAACTGCCCATCGTGCTCCTGTAGCAACACCGCTCCGACACCGTAGTCGCTCGCGTCCGTCTGTACGACGAAATGCCGGTTTAGATCTGGTAAATGTAAGCTCGCTGTATCAGCTATTGCCTTCGCGAGAGACGCGAAAGCCGCGTCGTGCTCCCTCCCCCAGATCCACCTTGAGTTTTTCCGCAGCAATTGGTTCAATGGCTGTGCTAGCTCCGCGCATCCCGGAATGAACTGCCGATAAAAACCGACCATCCCTAGAAACCTCTGAAGGCTCTTTACGTCACACGGCGCTGGATAATTGAGGATGGCCCCCAACTTATCGTCGTTCGGCTTCAACGTACCGTTGTCAACGATAAAGCCTAAGAGATTAACCCTCGAGGCTGCGAGCTTACCTTATCTGGGTTGATCGTCAACCCAGCCTCCCCCATTCTACTCAGAACGATCTCGAGATGAGTTAGGTGCTCTTCGAACGAGTTCGAGAATACTACGACATCGTCCATGTAAGCCATGGCAAAGTTAAACTTCGCGTCCCCCAGCACGATGTCCATCAGCCGCTGAAAACTAGACGGCGAATTCGATAATCCGAACGGCAGGCGGGTAAACTCAAACAACCCCCTGTGACAAGTGAACGCTGTCTTTTGGACGTCGTCTGGTGCTACCTGGATCTGCAGGAAGCCTCTGCTGCAGTCCAGCGTGGTAAAGACCTTCGCGCTACCCAGCGAGTACATGATGGACTCAATAGATGGAAAAGGATACGCGTCCCTTTTGGTCATCTCATTGAGTCGGCGGTAGTCTACGCAAAAACGGGCTGTCCCGTCTTTCTTCGGCGCTAGCACTACCGGAAATGCCCACGGGCTTTGCGACGGCCGTACGGCCCCCGTGTCCAACATTTCATCGAGAGCCTTATCTAGGAGAGCTCGCTTGTGCACACTCAGCGGTCTGGGGTTACAACCCCACGGCCTAGCGTCTCCCGTGTCTATCTCATGTTGTAAAACATGCGTGACTCCCGGCCTCTCAGTAAACATAGCTGCGTGTCTAGACAAAGCGTCCGCTAACGATCGCCTTTGTTCGGCCGGCCCGTCGAAAGAAGCCACGATCTGTTCAACGTTATGTGGTACGGCCCGCGCAGCTAACACCTGCTCCTCGCGCAGCCTAGCGAGCGAACATTCCGATCCCTTCCCCAAACTAGGTGGGGCTACAAAGGGGATGAGAGGGGTCAGCGGGTTGTAGTGGTACCCGTTATTCTTTAGGTCTAGAATGATCCCCTCTCGGCAAACGAAGTCCTGTCCCAAAATAACTGGGATTGACATGCCCGGCAGGTAAACGAAGCGCTGCCTCCTTCGCTTGCCGTCGAGGCCGAGGTGAAGGCGAACTGCGCATTGCGCCTCGGCCGATCCCGCCGCTAAACGCAACGGAGTTGCAACTTCGCGCATGCACAGGTTTCTTTTGCGGCAGTCCGTATACACGGAGTCTCCGATGAGAGAGAGGGTTGAGCCGGTGTCGACTAATGCTAGATAATCTTTACCACCGATCTCTACCCGCACGTACGGACCCCTTTCAGGTGTCGAGTCCTGAGCCCGACATGCCGACGGCGCGAACGCTACCCGATCGCTGCCCGCGACTTCCGCCCCGTCGGCGAACTGACCCGGGGCCTCGGCAGCGGCCGGCAACCTTGATTCGGGCAACCCGATTACTGGCGCCGGCCCCGCGCGTTTTCCGAGTATCCGGATTCCGCTGCCCACGTGCAATGCCGCCTGATGTGCCCAGGCTGGTGGCACCTGAAGCACCTGACTTGGGCGCGGTCGTCGCGTGCTACAGTTGATCTGTTGCTAACGGCACGCGGCGCGCCGCCTCGCCGAGCGCTGTTGTCGCTGCCGCGAGCGTCGTAACGCGTTACGTCTCCGCGGTATTCGACCGCGCCGCCCCCCCTACGGGGTTGCGCCCCGGCTGAGTGTGCGCTGGCTACCCTGCGCCTTTGCTCGAAGCCGAATGGGTCGAGGGCCCGAGGTGGAATGGCTCCGCCATTCCCGCGATCCGCGACGGCCACGTACGCCGTCTGCGACTCGACGTAACCGTCCGCGGCGCGTCCCGTCCACGCGCAACCCGGCTCCAAGGACTCCTTGGCCCTTGGAGGGGGCCGATACTGCAGCTCAGCGAGCAAGCCTGTTTGAACCGTGCGCGCCTCTCTCGCCAGTGCTTCGAGGTCTGCGAAATCGCGTCCTCGAAGATACGCCTTAAATCTGGGGTGGCACTGGCGGATCGCCCTCGCTACTTTCTCCGCGTTAGGCGCGGAGGGTTCGGCCCGCGAGTAGAGCTCCTGGAGTGCACGGACGTACTCCACGAGGCTCTCATCCGGGTGCTGAGTGCGGCTCGCCAGCTCGTCGCGAATCCGCATCTCGTAGTCGGGAGGAAGGAGTTCCTCCCGAAACCGCGCCCGGAAGTCCGCCATTGATTGGAACGGCGTTTGCAGCCGTCTCCAACGCGCGGCGTCGCCCGTCAGTGCAATCGGCACGATCTGCAGCAGGGCTGTTGCGTCCGATGCCCCCAAAGCGGTTACGTACGCGTCTAAATCCTGCAGGAAATCGTGCACCGATTTCCCGTCGGAGTACCCCGAGTACGTCGGCGTAGGCAAGCTCAACCGCGGGCGGTGTATCGGCAAAGGCGCGGCACTCGCGACGCTTGGGGCTGTCCCCATCTGCCGCGACATCGCGTCCATCATCCGCGTCATCGCGCGCATCAGTTCACCGGCGTCTAGCACGCCTTCCGTCGCTGGTGAAGCTGGGGGCGAAGGCCCAGTCTCCGGGGGCGCGCGTGAGCCCGAGTCTCCGCTAATCGGAGCAGCCCCAGCGCTATCTCGCCCAGGCTCGTCCTCCGACGAACCGTCCTTACTCGCGCCGGTGGTCGACCTGGTGTCGACCATTGTCACTTTCTACCAACTCGAACACAATTCGCAAAATTCGAGCACGCTAACCTCCAAAATCCGCGAAAACGGAAAGTGCGCGACCTCTCAGGGAGGAGCGAAAGCAACGGCCAACCGATCGGGCTCCCACGTGGGCGCCAGATTATGTGGGTCGCTACCTAATCGACGCCCGATCGGGACGTGCCTCGCTCGCTCCCCAAGAAGTCACCGACACAGTGCGTGTTCAAAAGAGTTTACTGAAACTCACGCCGTTGGAGAGCCGCTCGTCGCTGTCGTCCCGGTGACCTCCCTGACCGGTCCCTTTCGAAGTCGCCAGCCAAAGACCCCTTCCTTTGTCTCCGTTCCCCTTTTAAGACCTTCCCAAGTCCTTGTCCCGCCGACCGTCCAATCGGGAACCTTGCTGCGAGCCGACCCTCCGACGTCAGCGCTGGGTGAGGGGGCGCTTGCCCCGTTCCTCCCGGAGAGCTCGGACGTTCCGCGACAGGACGGCGACGGAAAACGGGAAGGTCACGGGGAACGAAGGAGCGCCCGACAGTACGGCGGCGGGGACCGGGAAGGTCACGGAGCGCGGAGGAGCCAGGGAGAGGGTCCCCACAACACAGACCTCAAGCCAGCTCCCCTGATCCCATCCGGGTTCTGGTTTATATGGGCAGCAGAGAGGCCGTCACTAGGCTTGGGCTCACACCCCGTCAGGGCTCCCTCTGCCAGCGCATTAAGACCCTATGTGCTGAACTGCTCTCCACCCGCAACATAAAGGTGCGGGTGGGTTGAGTACCGGGACACGCGGGCGGCCGAGGCAACGAGGCCGCTCATGCGTGTGCGAGCGCGCAGTCAAGCATCCGCTCCGACCCGGATATTTTGGTCCTACCTGCACTACTCGACCCCGATCCCTGGGAAAAAAAGGCAGCAGCTAAGAAGGCGGATCGCCTTAGTGTCAAGGAGCAGACCCCAGCCAACCCTTCACCCCCACCGAGAAATCTGCCTAGAGGTGCACAAGTGCTCATTCATAAAGCACGCACCGGGGCGGCTATTACTGAAGACGTCCTGGTCCGATGGAGAACCTACACCCCCGAGAGAGGGCGCCCGCCTGCTGCAGAATACTCAGGCGATACATCCACCTCACACGCGAGTTCCCACTCCGAGTTAGTGGAGTCCACCGAGGCTCCCAGGCCGGCGGTGACCTGCTCTACATGTTCTACAGGCGTTCCCCCCACGGTCCGACATCTACTGTGGGAGTGTGCGGGGCTCCAAACTGAACGGAGTTGTTTTCTAGACCCCAATGTGCGTGCCTACGAGGACTGGATTAACCCCAAGAGTAGTTAGTGCCTGTGCGAAAGGGACGCTGCTGTCCCTCTGGGACTTTGCGCGCGCGACGGGCATTGGCCGAAGGATATAATAACTTTAATTTTCGTTTTCTTTAATCCGCCCCCTCTAAACCGTCCCCCCCAGGCCGTCGCGCCATCCTTATCTTAATAAAGCGTAAGAACAACAATATATAAATATAAATATGTATACTTTTTTTACATTTGGAGAACAGTTAGTGTTTTTTCGTTAAAGGCCCATGAAACGAATTTTGGGCTGGAATAAATCAATCAGACCGGTTTCGTGGCCGAGTGGACCAACTACCCCTCTCTAGGCAACTGTGTCCACAGTAAAGAAAAAATATTGAGCCACCATCTTGGCACCACGTGCCTGTGAGTTTCGGACTCTGGGGATATTCAGTGACAAGCTGATAGCCATATTGCTGTATCAGAGCTGTGTCATGACTCTTGGAAACTTTGTATGTACTTATCATTCTTATCACCACCCTTTCTGTTTTGCACCCGAAGCATCGGCTGCCTATATTATCACGTCCCTGACAATAAACGTTGTTCACAACCCAGCATGTCTCCGTTCGGACGCGTCGTAGCAGTGGCGACGAGAACGAATCAACGCGGGTAGTGGCGTATTGCCACCCTGGGTAAAGCATGGCGTATCAAGTGCCGCAGTTCGACGATGGGAAAGACAAGTGGGCCTCGTAAACCATCCGGATTGAATCCTACTTCGAAGGAAACGAAATCAAGGAGGACGCCAAGAAAAGAGCCCTGCTGGTGTCCGCCCTCGGATCAAGAACAATTGAAGTACTGAGTGGCCGATGTGCTCCAAAAGGTGAGCGAATTAACCTATAAAGAGGTCGTGACAATTCTAGAAGATTTCTACGCGCCACCACCAAACGAAATAGCAGAAAGTTTCAAGTTTTATCACCAGACCCAGAAAGAGGGAGAGTCGGTGCAAGAGTTTATCGTGCAACTCCGACGCATAGCTGACAAATGTAATTTTGGAAACATGCTAGACCGGATGATTCGAGACAGAATTATGTGTGGCATTCGAGATACGGATGTTCAGAAGCTGCTGCTGGCACAGCCGAAGCTGACATTGCAAGAAACTGAAAGAATCGTGCGAGCCGCTGAAGCAGCCACGCAAGGCGCGCAAGAAATTAAGCAACCGGAGCCGGCAGAGGAACCAGCCCCAGCCTTGAACGCGCTCACCGAAAAAATGCGAAGATTCAACTTCAGGAAAACAGATAAAGGTTCTCGCGTGCAGGCTAACTTGTGCGGAAGATGCGGGAACGCAGCGCACGGAACAGAAACATGCCGGTTCATGAACATGAAGTGCTTCCAGTGTGGAAAGAAAGGTCATGCAGCCCGAATGTGTCGCACGGAAACCAAGAAACAAGCCAAAGCTTGTTCGATACACGGAAACGAAGCCAGCAGCGATGAGAGCGACATGTCACTGCAGCTGTTGACCTTGAAGTCGTATCTCTCAACAGACGAACAGTTGGTTGCACCTGTGCGCAGGAAATTTTGTTGGGGTGGCGCCGACATCGTCATGGAGGTGGATACAGGTTCGCCGGTCTGCGTAATCTCAAGGGACGTATATGACAGGCACTGCCATGGCTGGCCGAAGATGGAACGTTCGAGACTGAAGTTGTCATGCTACCTGGGGAAGCTGCCGGTGGCTGGTAAGCTTACGCTTGCCGTCAAGTATTGTGACCAAGAGGTGACGGCGACACTGACAATCCTAGACTGCGCAGGTCCAAGTGTATGTGGACGCGACTTAATACAAAAGTTGAACTGTCTTGGAACACCTGTTTTGAAGTTAACGGCGGCAACCGAAACCGCGCAGGACGTCGAGCTGAAAGAACTACTGTCAGAATACGAGGAGTTGTTCAGTGACGGACTGGGTTTGCTGAAAGGCCCGCCAGCGCATCTATATGTGAAAGAAGGAACTGCACCCAAGTTTTTCAAGGCCAGGCCTCTGCCATACGCCATGCGTGACAAAGTGTCTAATGAACTGGACAGACTTGTCAAAAACGGTGTTATCTCTGCGGTTCCTCACGCGGACTGGGCAACACCAATTGTCCCTGTTTTAAAAAAGGATGGGACCATAAGAATTTGCGGCGATTTTAAGTTGACCGTAAACTCAGCCTGCTGCACCGAGCAATATCCACTCCCCGTAATCGACGACCTGTTCGCGGCACTCAATGGGGGCGACAGGTACAGTACGTTGGACCTTCGAGATGCGTACAATCAAGTGCCACTCGATGACGAATCCAAGAAGTTAATCGTCATCAACACGCACCGTGGTCTCTTCTGTTTCAACCGGCTGCCATTCGGTATTTCTTCCGCACCCGCTATCTTCCAGCGCAAGATGGAGAGCCTGCTGCGAGGAATACACGGCGTACAAGCGTATCTCGATGACGTCATTGTCACGGAGAGAAGAAAGGAAGACAGGAGCGTGCTCAAGCAGGTGCTGCAGCGTTTCAATGAGAACGGAGTCAAGCTGCACAGAGGGAAGTGTAACTTCTGGCAGGACGAAGTCTGCTATCTCGGGCACCGCATCAACAAAAACGGCCTACACTCTACGGAAAAGAACCTGGCGGCTATAATGGAAGCAAGGAGCCCGAAGAACGTAAGTGAACTCCGCTCTTTCATAGGACTTTTGACCTACTACAGCAAGTTTCTGCCCAACATGGCTACCCTCTTGGCGCCACTGTACAACCTTCTAGCGAAGAATCAACGCTGGAAATGGGACCAAGCAGAGGAGCATGCTTTCAGAAAGGCCAAGCGGGTGTTATGTACGGCAGATGTTCTTACGCATTTTGACCCGTCTAAAGTTTTACGTCTCGAGTGTGACGCATCGCCTTATGGGGTAGGGGCTGTGTTGTCCCATAGTTTCGGACACGTGGACAGACCAATAGGATTCAGGTCCCGGACGCTATCAAAGGCAGAAAGAAATTATTCGCAACTTGAGCGTGAAGCATTAGCCCTAGTGTTTGGGGTAACCAAATTTAGAGATTATCTGTTGGGGCGGGACTTCACGCTCGTTACCGACCACAAGCCCTTGGTAGGGTTGCTGAGGGAGGACAGACCTACACCTGTCATGGCGGCGGCCAGAATTCAGCGCTGGGCGTTACTGCTAGGGGCATATCAGTACAAGATAGAATACAAGCCGGGGCCCCAGAACCAGAACGCTGATGCACTGAGTCGTTTACCGATAAATGTTCCTGACAAAGAGACGGACGAGCTGCCAGAATATGTGCTTTCAGTTAACCAACTCGATGATACTATTCTGTCAGCACAACGATTGCGGTCATTAACCTCGGAGGACCCGCTACTGTCCAGGGAGAAAGACTATGTGCTGCACGGATGGGCAAAGCACCTAGAGGATGACGACCCACAAATGCAACCCTTCTTTCACAGGAAGTTGGAACTCACCGTAGCCCAGGGTTTGCTCTACTGGGGGCACCGGGTCGTCGTGCCACAGACAGCACGTGGAGCGATGCTAAAAATGCTGCACGAGACCCATCAAGGAGCATCGGCGATGAAGGCGGTCGCGCGGACACTTCTTTGGTGGCCAGGGCTCGATGGTGAGATTGAACATCTTTCCCGGAGTTGCAGTGCGTGTATGCAGGCACGGCCGATGCCGCCATCATATGTTCCGGTGAAGTGGCCGGAGACGGGAGAAAAGTGGTCGCGATTACACCTGGATTTCGCGGGACCGGTGTCGGACGCCATGATATTAATTGCAGTGGACTCTCACTCAAAGTGGATAGAGGCGGTGGCCATGAAGAATTCGACTGCCGATTCTACAATAGCAGCTGTGCGCGAAATGTTCAGCCATTTTTGGGATACCGAAGACTATCGTGACAGACAACGGGACTCAATTTACGGCAGAATCGTTCTCTCGATTCCTCGCGGGAAATAACGTAGAACATCTACGCACTGCTCCATACCACCCTCAGTCCAACGGGCTAGCAGAAAGAGCAGTCAGGACGATTAAGGATGGTCTAAAAAAGGTCACGCATGGTAACCTTGCTACGCGTTTGGCTAAAATATTATTCGCGTACCGCCGAACTCCTTTGGCTGACGGTTCTTCGCCATCACAACGACTGCTAGGCTACCAGATCAGATCTCGTCTAGACGCCTGCCTGCCGTATCCTGGTGCTTCATTGGTGCCTTTGCAGGAACCCCGTAGCAAGCTGTGGCCCGGAAATCCAGTTTGGGCCCGGAACTTCGGAGAAGGAGAAAGGTAGTTGCCAGGGACGGTAACTACAACGACCGGAGCAAGGATGGTCTCAGTGGACACACCGTCGGGAGAAGTCCGACGTCACATTGACCAGATCCGTTTTCGAGAGCCGCTGGCACTCAAAGTACCAGGGACAGCTGCAAAGACAACGCAAGGCGCTCGACAAGATGCAGTACAAGATACAACACCTGCAGAACCAAATATCAGCACCACCCAGCCGCCAGAGTTGCGAAGGTCAACCAGAGAAAGGAAGCCTGTAGATCGCTATAGCCCCTAGGGGGAAGGAATGCTGTATCAGAGCTGTGTCATGACTCTTGGAAACTTTGTATCATCCTCCAATGTGCTTATCATTCTTATCACCACCCTTTCTGTTTTGCACCCGAAGCATCGGCTGCCTATATTATCACGTCCCTGACAATAAACTTTGTTCACAACCCAGCATGTCTCCGTTCGGACGCGTCGTAGCACATATGAAGCAAATTTCATGTTTCAACTCGTCGCTAGAGGATGGAGCTCTTATCGTACTTAGTTTAATTAGGGAGCCTTCATGTGCGCTTTGCTAGGGTGATGCCACCCTTTCTAATACCGCTCGCCGACAAACCAACAGCCATTTTGGTTCTCGGCGATAATTCGTGGGGCTTATAACCCTCCCGGAAACAAGCACCTTATCTCACAAGTTCGGAGCAGCGTTGTGGAACCCACGGAGGGAGGATTAGCATATTCCCCCTCGGATGGGAGGACCGATGGACACAAAGGTCACTTTCCGACGCAGAGGGAAACAATGAGAGGAAGAAAATGGCGGTGGAAGAGGATTCATAATGGAACAGCGCGAATTTTTGCAGGGACAGAGGAAGATACTGGACAGGACGAGCGCTGACTAACAACTGAAAGGTTTATTCTCAGGAAACCACGAAGAAAAACATACGACAACACGACTCTCTAATCACGAATTCAACCTCACTGTCCAGCTGGACTGTGAGGTCGAATTTTTAGATCGGGGATGACGCATATAACATTGTGTAACTGATAGCGCCCAATCTTTTGAGGCGCATGCGCATTTCCATCGTGATTAGAGAGTCGTGTTGTCGTATGTTTTTCTTCGTGGTTTCCTGAGAATAAACCTTTCAGTTGTTAGTCAGCGCTCGTCCTGTCCAGTTTCTTCCTCTGTCCTTGCAAAAATTCGCGCTGTTCCATTATGAATCCATACCAACTCGCCCAGTTATCCTGTTTACTAAGGTGGAGGAGGGTCTGGGAAAGGGAAACAGGCAGTTGGCATCACTCTATGCGAAGCGCGCATGAAGTCACCCTAAGTTTAATTCCTCCTCGCCCCGCGTTTTACTCCTTTCCGTAGAAAGCCATCCTCCTTGCCCTCCTTCCGCACCCCGCCCCCCACCGCCATGTCTGGGCGAGGCCCACAAGGCGCGTCCGCCTTCGTGCCGGGTCGTACTTATTTTCTATTGCATACGGCGGACTAGAGTTTTTATTTTTTTATTTTAATATGAAGACCTTTCTAACGTGAAGAAACTAGCTTTTGTGCAGATTTATTGTAGCTCTAAAGCACGTGAAGAGGTCTTGATCAGCAAATATAATAACGCAAGCAGAGTTGGAATCGCTTGGGTGTGCAGGCAAGCTTTCTCTAATTCCGCTAAATGAAGAAAAAAGAAATGCCAACGTAGTTTTGAATATTTTGGGAAATCGGCGTGCACTGCAAAAATATATTTTGTTTACCCGCTTATTGCAGCAAGAGCTGAGAGCAGGCACACAATAGACTGCACCTCTCCCTGAGTGTAAAGAGGTTCGTAGGAGGACTGCGTTGCTGGCGGGAGCTCGTGCCGTCGCTTTGAGCATGGATTGAGCACGCGCCCGCAACAATCGCAGTCCATAGCGTTCGTTCTACTAAAACTTTTCATTTTCTTGAATAAAGTGCATTTGCAGACTCGGCATCACTCGAGTTAGGCAAATAAATGACACCACAACGCGTGCAAAACCAGGGCTTTTCGGTGATTTTAAGCAACTGCTCGTTTTGCCAAACCAGCGGCTTGCTTTACTTCGTATACATTTTATAAACGTCCAATACTACCTAAGACTGTGCACATGCGACGACTGCTATTTACGCGCCTCGTGCATATAACTACCCACCAAATACATTCACTTGTATCGCCTCAGTTAAAATTAAAAAAAAAAAAAAAGAAATAGCGTGATCGGTTGCCTTGGCAGTGCGTTTCTCATTTCGCCCATTTATTACCAAGGCCCTCTTCATCCTTACTCTGTTTCGAGATATTGTTTTGACGTCCTCACGCGCAAGGTGCGCCCTTGAGTTCACTTGCAAGGCATATAAGCTTTACCGGACACCCGCGGGCGTGCCTTACTGCATGAGTTACATATGAGGAGAGAGTGATCTTTCAGCAAAGCCTTAAAAAGACAATAAAAATTTTTTTCATTGTCAATAAAAAAATGTATTAATCAGAAATGACAAATCACATACAAAGATGAAGACAATAAAATATATATTGTTACAAGGCAAAATATTGCACATTCGGAAGAGGTCGGTGTGAAAAAATGGAAGGAGTTATAAATGGGCTTGAGTTTCCTGAGGTCAGTCTTTGCCAATATCACTGGCTCAAACTGATCGTTCGTGAAGTGAACCTGAAAAATAAATGCAGCATCGCATATCTTTAGTTGCCACTTGTGAAGCATCAATCGCGGAAATATGTTGCACAACAAAAGTGCGAGTTGCTCGATCGTTGGTGACTCTTCTTTCACTGACGCAATATGCTCCTGGTAACACTGCAACCCACTTTATTTTAGTGGCACTTCAGTCTCTCACGAATTGTTCTTAAAGGGGCGGTGCGAGAATTTGCGGACTTTGGCTAATTAATTGCGGGAATCGATCCCGGCCACATATAAAACGAAAGACCGAAAACTATTCTTTCCTGCTTGCCCTAGTTTTCATTAAAAAAAATAAAAGAAATTGGTATCTCTGGCACCCCTCAACTCAACATTGAAGCGGCACCAGCTTCGCCTGTGACGTCATTCGGAGTGGCGTTGGTTTCCGGTTGGGTTCTTCTGGCTTCCGTTTCCCCAGCGCTCGCCGGCTCGCCAGGCTCGCCGCTCTCCCGCTCTCCCGCCGATTCCCGACCAACATGGCGGCATGGGCGGACGGCCTGAGCGACGTCGAGCGCAAGATGCTTGCGTATAGTAAGTCAGTTGGACTTGTGCGGCGGGCAGTCGACGCGGCGGGCAGTCGAAGTCGAAGTCGAGGTCGAGATACCAGGAACAATAACGATACCATGATACTACGGACCACGACCAACGCACTCCGTCGAGCGAGGGAAAGACAAAACGTCCGGGTTGCTCGTGTAGCCGCCGTAGGCCCCTCGGGCGTCGACGGATGATGGCGACGGCAGGTTTTGTTGACTTGCGGTAGATCGCGCCACAAGTAATTCATACCCTTTTAGCAGCAATATTAGGCTTTTGAAGCGTTTCTGCATGCCTAAACAACAAGATTTTTTAAACTTAACCTTAAATCAAGCTTACAATTGCCTAACACTATCACTTACAAAAACCACTCCGAAGGCGTCACACCACAGGTTCCATTTGCAACCACCATGTGGCCGCAGGTTGGGAAAAAAAGCGTTTTTTATTTTGCGATTACGCAGCGAAATAGAGGTATTTTGGGGTATGGTGGCACTTTTTCTCTTACTTATGCCGAAGTAAACAATATAAAAAATACAAGCTGCACATTCGTTCAGTGTTAAAATCATTGCACCGCCCCTTTAATTCGGCCGACTCAGTGTAAGGGAGCGAGTCAGCTTTCATAATCAAATACGCGGGAAAAGACGTGCCAAAGTTCTTCGCGCCGGTAATTTTGTTCCGTGTTTATCTCGTCTCAAGCTCTTATTAGTCGATCTTCATCGGCGAGACCGATAGAGACAGTTAATACGATTCAGAGTTTTACAATGACTTACCTGTCAAAGTCTCCCTCCGGAGGCAGTCGAAACTTTTCCGGCCGATCCGGTTGAGCCCTTCGAGTGTTTTTGTTTTGGTATATCGTTCAGTCACTCCCGCCGCGGCTATCCGCTAGCCGCTACGACTTCCGCTCTATGTGGCGTAGCGGAACCACCACGTTCGGAACCCTCTACGGACTACAGCGTTACGAGAGCTAACGCAACGCCACTAGCGGCTCTTTCGGACACTAGACTCGTGTAAAACTGTATTCTAAAGGACTTCTTCGCAACAATTTTATTAACGTCGTTTTCTGAATAGAATATTTTGTTCTTTATTGAATAACGTGCTAATCGTTGCTTCTTTTGTAAGTAAATGACTATTATGTTTGTAATTGAATACAACTGGAGGGCCAAACTGTCGAAGCTAAACCGATATGAATCAAGCGCCAAAGCCACCGAGAAAAATCTTCATAAATTAATGAAAATTACCGTGGCTCTTCTGTTGTCTTGTTCACCGAAAATGAAACGCCACGGAAATCCCTCATATCCTCCTGCTTGCTCGCTTCCCTGGTCAGTTTTGTCCTCACGACAAAGCGGCCGAGCACGAGGCCGCCACCTTCGCTCGCAACACCACAAACTGCAAAACTTTTCTTCTTTTTTAGATGCGGAGCATCTCTTGCTCGGGCTATGTCCCGCGGCGTCGTAGTCCGCACTCACACTACGCGTGCGCAACTCTCCTCGCTGCGCGTGCGTTCTCTCTCTCTCCAACAGCTGCGCGAAGTGCACGCAGCTACCAGCTGCGTCCCTCTCTCCAACAGCTGCGCGTGAGTTCTCTTTCTCTTCAACAGCTGCGCGAAGTGCACGCAGCTACCAGCTGCGTGCACTTCGCGTGCGTTCGCTTCTACTCACACCGCGCGCGCAGGCGCAACTCTCCTCCTCTAGTTTCTTCTCCTTCAAGTTTGAATATAAGCAGCGGTAGCGCGCTGCGCGCGTTCAAGGGGAGGAAGTGGCTGAGTGGGCTAACGCGTCTCAGCTCGGA